TTCCGGCAGCGGCTTCGCAGCCGCCTCCACTCGCTGCGGGGGACGCAGCAAGATGAGTCTTCCCAGACCCGGAGACACAAGTTAAGATTTTAAGGAAGCAGAAAAGGGTCGGTTTGAACTTAAAACCGGAGCACGAACGCTAACAGGCTGACTCGAAACACGTGTTTTGTTTTCTTCAAGAACAGCCCGGAGGTCTGAAAACAAAACAAGACAACTCTCATCCTACACTCCAAAGAGAGGAGAGCCCTCTCTGCAAACACGTTGCAAACGCAGGTTCCTTCCAGCCTGCGGACTCACTGGTTGTCTAGTCGCTAACACTAACATAAAGACCAGAAAAAGCAGCGTGAAATGGGGGTTTCAGTCTGATAGAGTAAAGGTTCTCTATCTTCTCTAAAAAAGCCACTTAGTGTCACAAGCGATAATTAGAACGAATGACTCTTACAGGGCTTCCACACTCCTGAAGTCAAACTGGAGCTCTCCGGCCCCAGCAGACTCGGGGGGGAAAACTCAACTTGCGATCTCCCCTAGGAAACCAGGGAAGGGGAGAGAAGGCGCGCGCCTTTCGGGCCCCCTTCATCCATTCAACCAGAAAAGTTTTAATTTGGAAAATCCATTAAAACACCTTTTAAAAAAAAAAAAATTAAAAATTACTTTCCGTTTTCCACAAACTTAGTTTTCCATTCGAGCCTCTTTTAGATGGGATATACTTTTTTAATCCTTCTCAGGAACAAGAAACGGTTTGCTCGCTGGTCCATTCAAGTTCTTTTCAGGAAGGACTGCCAGCACAAACACCCCCTCCGCCAGTCCCTGCCAGTCCCTGCCCGCAGGCTCTTCGGCTCCGTGGCCGCCACTATCAGTGTGAACATCCCTTCTGCAGCAGTAAGAAGCTGTGTGTGAAATTAGGCACTCGACAGGGAGGGCAGCTCAGCAGCAACACATGGGTGGAAGATGCAACACGCCAAAAACATGGCAAAGACAACGCAGGAACCGCCTCTCCCTGGGAGGTATCTCCAGTGCACTCTTAAAATTCCTTTTTTTTTTTTTCCTCTCCCCAGCTAGAAGAGGGGAGAGTGCCACCTAATGACTCTGGGGTAACGTTTTCTGAAATATTTCAATTTTCCTGAAAGTCTCCAATCTAAATGCTGATCCGACCCAGTCTGTTAAGCTTAAGATCACCCAAGATATCATACGCCTGTGATGGGGCAACCACAAAAATAAACCTTTTCCCGGTGAAAAAAATCAGAAAAATGGAGAAAAAGCTCTGCACACACACTTGCCTCTAAGAGAGACCATTCAGAGACCACAATCCGAGAGAATTATTAAAAGAATCATGTTCAAAAAAGCCAAGTCGCACCCCGTGTGTGTTCGGGCGGACACGAATGAAGCTGATCGTCCTAAAGCAAGTGCTTAAAACGAGATGTGCGATAAGCACACTGTCCAATCTCGATTTTTCTTTAGGAAACCCTGGTTACTAAAATAAGAGAATATTATCAGAAATAAGTCTGAAATAAGAGAATTGCACCGTGAAACGACACAAGGCTGGCTGGTCACGCAGCAGGACCGCAGCCGAGATGCGACCAAAGGACGAATGCACGCACCTGGTAGCTGGGAGTTACCGAGTACTGGATCCCCGTGGCAGACTGCATGGTCTCCGAAACCGCCTCATATACCGGAGGCGCCGGGGCAAGCACGCGGTGCTGGTGTTGGAAAGCTTCGGTGCTGCTGGTGATACGTCTCTGCTGCGACGCATACACGGGTGACTCCTGCTCATCCAATCGCCGCTTCATTCTGAACTCATGCTCGGGAAGCACTACAAAACCTGTGGAAAAAAAAAACAAAAAACACAAAACAACCAAACCCACACCGATTGTCAAAGGCAATTGATTCACCGCTCCCTGCCGGCGCCGTGGACGCTAAGTTCACCAGGAGCAGGTAGGGCAAGTTTCTTGTCTATTCATTTAGGTGACTGATTATCTCGAGATAGGAAGGTGGAATTAAGATTCAGCTCTCCGCATGAAACGTACAGCTGTGTTTTATCACCGATAACACAGCCTGTTTGTTAGAAATAAAACACTCTGCTCAAAAGTTGACGATTTCTTCAGTCCCACTTCAAGGATGTTGCTGCTACGGGCATCCTAAGCACGCGCAGACGCTGAGCGACACAAAGCCCATTGAATGGAATATTTGAACACAACAGACCGGGGGAGAGTGTGTTACCTACGCACAGCCTGGACAAAGTTGCCTACACTGAAAGCAGAAAAAAACCTCCTGGAGAGTCGGGGCAGGACGGCAGCCAGCTCCGAGAGATGCTTCAAGAACGGGGGAGGAAGAAGGAGGCAAAAAGCAGGATGCAGAGTCAGATTTTTTAAATCATTTACAACGCCCTAAAGTAAAGCGTTGCCCGTTTAATACACCTAAGGCACACGTAACCCCAGTGGAACCCACACACCCGCTGCCAGGAGTCTTTTGGACACCGTATGCCGCACGGCCGTGGTCCTCCCGGCGCCCTGGCCGCACTCGCCGGCGCCGAGCGGAGCAGAGCTGGCAGGCTCCGTGCCACCCCGTGTTGCCTGCCGGGGACGCCGGCGAGCCCCGACCAGCAGCTCTCCCCGCTTACTCTCCTGTACTTTTTCTTCCCCAACACACAGGCACGTTCCTGCCCTGCTCCCAGGTTGTCTTTCCGCAACTTCATTTCACTCCGAAGCCGACAGGTTGCTTTGCCGCTGTCCCGCTCCTAAAAGTGCCGCAAATTCTTCGCTCTGTTGGACTGAACCGATCAGCTCCTCTTTTCTCAAAGCAAACCGCGCTGTTGTTTTTTACGCATCGATAGTTATCGCCATCCTCAAGATCTCACCTGCTGTTCATCAAAGCCTACTACCACCTATTACGGTGTTGGACGGACAGAGAACAGAGTGAAATCCACCTTCTTCAGCCTCTAATTCACCAGGACCTCCCCAAGGCAAGTCCTTTGCAGCTCCAGTGCAGTTAAGCACGTTCGTTGCTACCACGGATAAACGAGAGGGAACGAAGCTCCTCCGGAATAACGGCACAACGGCCAACTGAGCCAATTCTCATCTACCAAGTCAGGACAGCTCTTCACAGCCTAAACCTGTCACTAACCAAATAACCCAAAGATCATTCACCAGTATCTCGGCGCACGTCAAATACGTAAAACGGGGACCGGCGGGATGGAGGTTCAGACTAGATCAAGGCGGGCGTGCGAACGCAAGGCTTTGCGCAACGAAGCGCTCTTCCCCCTCCGCATCCCTCTCCGCCAGTCTCTCCTTTCACTTGGAGGGGGTAGGACGAGAGGGAAGATGACTTCATTTGGTTTTGGAGTTGCTCTTCAAGTTTAACCTCTCCGAACAGAGTCCCTTATCAGGTCCCCAAAGCACTGGCAGGTAGAAGAGGGGCGGCAGAGGCAGAGGAGGACTCCTCAACCCCAGGTAAAGGAGAAAGCTCGCTAAACTGGGTCTTGTTTACAAGTTACGAATCCTAAGTAGGTCTGACCTCCAGCGTGCGCTCGGAAAGCGGAGAAGCCCACTCCAGGAGCTCGTTTTGCTAACGCAGCCTGCGTTGGTCGTTTTTTTCGTTCCGCTGGTCTCTGCTGACAAATAAAGCGCCAGGCGGGTTAACGCGGAGCTGCTCCCCTCAACCACAGCCCGGCGTTCAGCTTTGGAAAAACGTACGGTTTTACGCTAACAGGGCCGGGACTAAACCGAGCAATGCCGGCAAATCTGGCCGCGCACCACCATCCCGCGCGCAGAGCTAGCCAGGATTTTGCATGACAATGGCCGACCGCGCGAGTAAAATCTGGGCAAAGCTTCGGTGGCATCTATTTATAACCCGCTCACCAATTCCGACACCCTTCTGCCCTAAACGCTGCTACCCCAGCCCGTCCTTCCACTTTCCGTTGATCTCCCGGGCTGGTTCGCCTCTTCTGCTTCTCAACAGCGCAACAGCTTTCCTTCCCTCCGGGAGCCACCAAGAGCTGCGTACACCGATATCCCCACAGCGGGAACATCCTCAGAAGAAAAAATTCACACGGGATTTACCATAAAGAAGTGAAATGGTTCCAGCAGGCTTAACGCGCTGTCTGCGATAAGGGGGCTGTGTGTATACACACATATATATACGTATACATGATGTATACGTGGTGTGGTGGCTGTTAAGTGTCCCAGCCTCGTGTCTCGCACCCCAGAGCAACACTCCGCACTCGTCGCTCTGGATGGACTAATCAACCTTGAAAGCAGAGGCTGTTTGAGGACAGAAGATGGCTGGAAGACTCGTGTGCCCTTACGAGGATTAAAATGCCACCTTAGGCTGACTGAGAAGCCTTTTCCCCTCCCCGGAGCCACTAAACATCTCAGCCCTGTGAGGCTGCGGGAATCGTGGCAGCACCGAGGATACGTTACCGCATACATCATGTTTCTGAAGCTCCTAATTCTCGCAGACCCAGGGAGCAATCTTCCAGAAACCCAGCTTGCTGCATGGTCGACGTTAAAGCTTCTGTTTAGCGAAAATTAAAGCTCCTGTAGTTTTTTTTTCTTCCCCCCCCCTCTGAATTCCCCTCACCTCCGCTAAGGGCACTCGGACTCTGCTTCTATCCAAGCCCCGTACCTGCTTCAACTTTAAAATTTCCTATTATTGACTAAATATATATTTTGACTATATTATGGGCAACAGTCAATGGCACGAGTCAATCTTCCTAGGTAACACCTTGCTGAACTCCTACTCGGGGTCTGCACCCTCTCCGAGAGTGGCTCCCAGCAGACCGCCGCTTAACGAAGATTACCGATCCACAGGCTTCTTTAATCCCAGCAGAGAGATGATTTTGATACTCTGCTGTACCTAGACAAAGACTGGTGACCTTAACTCCGCATCCACCACCACCGACACTCTACAGAGAGCGGGAACGCTCTGAAGGGGCGAGAAAACCAGCACCGGGGCGCAAACCAGGCAGAAGAAAACACGGCAGTGATCGCTCTGAAGGTCCATTCGTTTCCTCACCAAGGTCCCGCCGATCTCGCCGTGGCATCTCCCAAGGATCCTCTCCGTCCAAAAGCCGGGGAGATCTGCTGTGCAGCAAGTCCTACCCCTCCTACCGCCCCGCCGGACGGACGATATGGCAGAAAGGCTGTGACAAAACCCAAGACTGGACGCGTCATTTTAAACCGATTTCACCAAAGCCCGCTGCTCCAGGGGCAGTTCCACCCGCTTCTCCTCTCCGGGGCAACTGATTTCTCTCAGCATCCTTGCCAAAGGCAAAGCCCAGCTAACGTGAAAAGGCGTTTCGAGGATAAATATAGATAATTGCCATCGGTGGTGTGAAAGCCTCCTATCAGCCAGCCACCCTCCACCGAGGTGACTCTACGACGCTTATTTTACGGAGTCTTCTCAGAAATATAACGCACACCTCCAGCATCCCCCTACGGCCTCTGACTCTTAAGGTTTAGAAAGCCCCAATTCAAATTGCATCATCTGTAATCTTAATTTGGGGGTGGGGGAAGCCTCAAAAATACAGCAAGGACTGCAGCAGACTGCAAGCGAGTCACAAATTTCAGGTACTTTCCTTGGCTAAAAGCACTAACCCGAGACACGTAGCGCAGCAGTCACTGACCAGACCAAGTCCCACCCTACGCAGACCACGAAGAACTGCATCCCCCTTTCCCCAGCACCGCTTCTACCCAAATTATCTTTTAACTTCAGCTAGAGTACGCTACATTCTGCCTACGGGAGAATGAAAAACACATGCTCTTTTTTTTTTTTTTCCCTTTTCTGAGGTTTTTAGCGCTCCCCCTCCCAGGGAAAGGGCATCGTGGAGGAACGCACCTCTGATCTTCCCACCCGTGCGACCTCCCAGCTCACCAGCTTTGCTCAGCGCTACAGGTAGACAAACCGCAAACGCACATAGGATCCTTTGGCTGGTAAAACTAGAAAAAAAATATTAACAAAAAAAAGAAAAAAAGAAAAAAGGCACATCGCATCTCAGTAATACCACCTGGATGATGAAATTCCACCCCACCAACCTCATCAGAAGATTTCCCCATCCATCTGCCCGGCGTAAGCCGGTGGGACCGATAAACGTTAAGTGGAGCGCATCCCTTCCCCTCCGGTACCGCAGAGAGGAGAGAAGAGGAGAAGCAGCGCTGACAGAGAAAGAGGAGGAACAAAGCGGGGGACAAGGCTGGATTCACGGCTCCCGCCTCACGTCTGCTCACCCCTCCGTGGGAGCAACGGAGGCAAGGAAAGCCTGGGGATGCTCCTCATCCCTCGCAAAACTGCCTCTCCCCCGTGGCAGCTCCCCCCCCCGCTCCACCAAATAAGATCGCAAAAATCCGTGTGTTTTTTTTTGTTTTTTTTTTTTTTAACATCGGGTTTTCCCATCGGGGTCTTCTGGCATTAGGCATCAGCTGTTAAAATAGGTGTCGGAATCAAAAGCAAAAAGGAAAAGGCAAATAAGAGAATAGGAAGAAAGCAAATCGGGGAAGGTCGGCTGCCCCGGCACCTGTTGGGATCACAACGCGCCTGTGGATAAACGCCGCCCGCGGGAACAAGTCGTGAAAGCGCCGCGCGAGAAGATTTCGCTCCCCGTGGAGCGAGGACCCTTCTGAAAAAGGGGCAGGGAAATCGCATCGCGACGGACGACGCCTTTAACACGCGCGGGGGCTTTTTAAAAGGTTTCCTCTCCAGGGAGAAAGGACTCAAAACTCAGGAGCAGCAAGTGTAAGTCTCAGCGACGGCTCCGGAGCCGTCGGGGATGTCCTGCGGGACAAGTCCCCTATAGGATTTTGACACCGTATATCACGGCGCCTGCTAGAAAGCAGCCGGCTCAGGTTCTGGCTGCGCGCTAACCCAGTCGCGCCACTTCCAGGACATGACCCAGCTTGTTCAGCAACCCCTGGTATATATATGGTATATATATATATTTTTTTTTATTGCACGGTGCCACGCAGCCCGGATCCCTCGCCCGTAACATGGGAATAAGCCCCGCTGCAGAGGGAGCGCACCCGTGACCGGAGAGTCATTCCGAAATGAAATGAGAAGCATCCCAAAAACCAACCAACCAACAAAGGGGGTTGAAAAGCATCGCATGAAGTTTTCGGGGAGCAGTCAGGGAGAGTTTTCTGCAAGGTGACGCGGTGACAGCCCGCGGATGACACGGCAGCCCCCGCCACGAGGCAGACGGGGCAGGAGGAAAAATCCCACTCGTCTCCGTCCCGGTGGGTAACGAGTCGGTACGGCGCTGATCCCCGCTTGGCCAAAGCGGCAAACGGCCAACTCAACTCCGCCACAAAAAGACACTCCAAACCGAAGTTTACACTCCATACGGAGGTTAGCAGCGTTTCGCCCCGGATCCCGACTGCACTTTCCCCACGCACAGAGTGAATTGTCAGAATACTTGTATTTCTTCTTCTTTTTTCTTTTTTTTAATAAGAAAAGAACATTTTCTTAATAAAAAAAGAGAGGAGGCACTCGAAAAGTTGGAAAAAAGCGCGCCCCTCAGCCTCATCAGGCTGAAATGACAGCTATTAATGGGACTCACTCTTTTTTTTCTTTTTTTCCTTTTTTTTTTTTTTTTTTTTCTCCTTTCACCTTTT